CGTCTTTATGCATGGCGCAGGAGCCAACTTCGGTGTTAGCAACAAACCCGGGCGACGGGTCCCCAGGACCGGCTATGGGCCCCGCGCAGGTGTCCGGCCTGTGCACGGGGTGCGCGGGGGCCCAAGAGCCCCGAGAAAGACGTTATTGTTACACTGTAACGAGTCTGATTAACACGCTCCTGACACTTTCTCTTAGTTTCTTCGGCTCCTAGCAACCGGGCACAAAGGCGAAGGATTGTCCTGGGCTCCGCGGGGACACGGGCAGCCTTTGATCTCGCACCATTACAGCCTGGCTGTGCGACAGGCTCGCGGGGTCCGGGAGGCCCGCAGTCCTGGCCACTGGGCCACACTGCGGCCCCGGACTGGCCTGGCCGGCCGCTGCGCCCCTGCACTGTTCCACCGGTCATTGCGCAGGGAAGGGCAACGGCCTCCGAAACGTGCCCAAGGCCTGGTCTCTGCTCCAGGGCGACGTCCGCGCACTGATGCATGCGGTGGGTGGTGCGCGACAGAACATCTACACGCGTGTCCTGACGGTTTGAGCACGTCTCCTTCCTAAGCGGCACGGGGTTCAAGGCTTGTTTTGCTCTTCCCGTCGGAAGGAGCGAAAGAAAAACCCAGCTGGTCAGTCATAATAAAAAAATAAAATAAAGGAAAAAAATTTATGTAAAAGAAAGGACACAGTTACATAGTCCCCGAAAACGTAAATAACCTCCTTAGACGAAACTGAGTAGATCGCCACAAACTGCGTGTCCAGGAGGACTTTAGTGCCTTCCCAGCGCTTGCTTTGTGTTTCTAGGTATCTTTACCGATTCTGAAGGAGGTGGGGTGTCAAATAATTACTAGAATCTAAACAAACCATGTCCACCAATGACAAAAGTCACCCACCACAGAACCGGGACAAGCTGCCGGGTCCCACTGCGCAAGTTTTACAGGTACTAAAAAGTAATTTCCGTTCCAGTTCTGTCGCTTACTTAGCCATCCCTCCCCTGGCCCCAGTTGAAAACAGAGGGTGGGAAGAAAGAAGAGTTGGGCTTTAGCATTCCAATGTTAGGGTCAGGTAATTACTTCCCCTAAATTGCAAAGTGAAGGCCTTGCAGGGGGCCCTCCCGGGAGAGGGCAGTGTTCCCAAGTCCTGCATTTACAGACCCGTCCAGTGGTCTCTACTAGTATTAATATTCACAAGTTCCCGTGGAAAAAAAACAAATCTTATGACCGGTTTTGTTCTTTCCATTCATTTATATGTTTAGTTCATTTCCTAGCACTAGAGGGAAAACAAAAATAAAAATGCAGGGGATTCAGAACGCAAAATAAATGGAAGCTCTAAAAGCAGACTGTCCTGAGAAAGAAACAAAGGAAGAAAGAAAGAAAGAAAGAAAGAAAGAAAGAAAGAAAGGAAGGAAGGAAGGAAGGAAGGAAGGAAGGAAGGAAGGAAGGAAGGAAGGAAGGAAGAAAACAAGGGGGGTGGAAAGCCGGTATTCTCTTCTCTCCCTGTGACAACTAAAAAATTCCATAGTCTCTAAAGAAAGTCAGTTTCCCCAACTCCCACAAAACTATTGAGTGCAAAGGTGTTCCTGGCGATAATGACTTCTATTTTAGAGAGCGGAACACCGCATGGTTGGTTCTATTTATCCAGCAAAATATGCCAGGCAATCAAAGACTTTCAAATTCAAACTACAGGCGGTGAAGACTTCATCCCCGGGACACTATTTCCCGACCTGCCTCTAGAGCAGTGGGGGCCAATGTGGCCTGGTGTACAACTAGAGGAAAGGCTGAAGAAAGTCCCTAACTTGTGGTCCCAGTGGTGAGCCAATTGGCCAGAATTCTCCTTACCCTTTCAATAAAACATGACTGTACCGATACAATCCTCTATACATTAAAATGAGTTTGTCACAGATAGTCATTAAGACCTCAGTAAAACAATGAAGACATTATTGGGCACCCCCCCCCTCGGGCAAGGTATTAAAGGCATAAAGCAATCTACACCACACGGGTCCTATTGAGATTAATGAAAAAATTATGCAAAAAAATCGCAATTTCATTTTCCCGTGACGAGGCTTTGCGTCCGTCCAGTCAGTCTTGCGTCGCACCTGATGATTTATTAAACTAATCTGCGGAGATCAACTGCTGATGTTCTCAGCTCAATCTTGTCCTGGCTCATTTTCTAAGTAATTGTTTCTCATTAGTTCTGATAATGTTTTAATAGTGTTATCCATAATTTAGCCCCCTAGAATTAATAACAAGGGGGTGATACTGGCAAAGTGGCTGCCATGAGCTACACACACACACACACACAAATAAACAGGTATTTTTTTTAATTAATCTGATAAGCAGCCAAGTCCCCTTCTTGTACCCCCTTCCTACCTCATCACCCACGTCTGTGTCCCTATAGCAGACTCAGCCATGGTGGTATTTCTCTTTGTCTGCTCCTTACTAGGGTTGTGGGTTGGAGAAGTGGAATGCCTGCCTCCCAGCTCCTCCATGCTTTAGAATTCTGTCTCCCGGGGAATGAGGGCCACGGGACTCTGGTGGTCACCCACCTCTCTTCTGGGGGCCCTTGTATCTGCTCAGACAACTGGCAATTAGCCTACATCTTTGTCTTCTGTGGGCCCGTCTTGTGGTCCTACCTAAAGTGGTATTTCTCGGTTATGAAGATGATCGACCTGAAGTCCGAGAAGGTTTAGCCAATGAGGTGGTTTTGATCTGGGTACAGTGAGCACATCTTTAGTCTGCGTACTTCGGAGGAGGAGGAGGATGCGGGAGGACTCTCGTCAGTTTGACGCTAGCCTGTTTGATGCAAGATTCTGTTTCAAGAGCAAAACCAGAACCAAACAGGGTGTTTTTGTATGAAGAAGGAAGTTGGGGGATTCAGAGGTACTCTAACACGGTGAGGACCTAGGAGTCCCTGGCACTGTTGCTGTGGAGTGAGAGAGGTCTAGCTAGGCCCTGTTCTCAGTACCACTTTGAAGGGTTGCTTTTCTTGAGGTCTCCATGGCTCCCACCATGCAGGTGGGGTTTCCTCAGAGGGAGGCCCTGGCTTGAGGAAGTCCAACCTGTATGGGCTTGGGGTCTACCTGAACGACTGGGATGGAGGCCAGAACATGCACCTCCTGATCGTTTTTACAGCCAACAGCTTATCTGAAATCAGTACTCCGGTAACACTCTGAGAGTGTGCATATGTGTGTGAGTGTGCACATACATTTGCACGTACATCAAGGCCCTTCGTGCCCTTCTGGGGAACGAAGGCTTATGAGCAGCCTGCCTAAGTCTTTGTTTTAAACAGAGACCGACGTGGACCCCTGTGGGTCTAGCTTACTCTGTGCACACCTGACTTCACGACTCCCAGACGCAGCCTAGGACCTGGGCGTTTCTTACCCAGAATGCCCCTGTCCACTGTCCTAAAGCACCAATGGTCAGAGGATAGCTGAGTCCTCCCATTCCCACCTGCCTGTCCAGAAACTCTGGGGTAGCGCAGGGCAGCCCAGGTGAGGAATGGTGATCTCTTAATGAGGGGAGGGAGAGACATAAGGTCCAAAGCAGGTGGCCCAGCCCAGCGCTGGCCTCAGCTCTTTTTAAGAGTTAGCCCCTCAGGTCCCTTGCTTGTGACTATCCGTGTCTCAAGAATATGTTTCTCCAGATCCATCAGTTCTGGGTTTGGTTTCAGCCACTTGCTAGCCAGAGTGTGGTATTCTCCTTCCTACCCTGCACTGGGGTGCATGGTGGCCGTGGTAGCAGTGGTTTCTGACCCGGCATTGGTGCAATGATGTGATATCCACCTCCTAGGGTTTTCTGTAGGAACTGAAAGGGTGAGAAGTAGAGCCCGGGATAGGGCACACGCCAGGGGCCATGAAGGGAATCCACCAAAAGGGCCTAGAAGGGGGAGAAAAATGAAACTGGAAAACAACTGTTTTCTATTTACAAATTTAAATAAACAGTACAGCCTTCCCCTGTGGTGTTTGTCTAAGAGGAGCAGCCACGCTGCTGAGTAGGTCATGAAAAGGTTGGTGTGGAGTTTTAAACTTCCCATTCTGCTAATTTCTTAAAGAACAGTGGTTCAGAGTCTCCGCACAAAAGCTCATGATTTAATGAGGAAGAGAAACAAAATCTCCGCTTGTTGGTGTTTCAAACTTCATTGGCGTCCTCTGGCACGCACAAGTTGATCCTCCGAGGTTTCAATACCCTTTCGCCTTCAGTATAAGGGTACAAGCTGAATAGAGAACAATGCCTGGTTGTTATGTTTGTTTACCCTTCCTACAAGCTGGGTTAACCTCTTCAACACAGCTTCACTAAGCCCGTTAACCACACCACCCATATGACCCACAGCCTCATCTCTAATGGGATGCAAATCTCGCAGGGGGCCATATGCACCAGCCCCGTGGCTTTGTGTCCTCTAGACGATACAAGTTTATGGCTGAGAGTCCCATCTTAGCCCTAGTTTACAGGGGGGAAATGGCCTCAATGACGAACAGTTAAGCAGAAAGACAAAGGGGAGAATGGACGGTCTTGTTTTGCCTGCATTGATTTTTTTTTTTAAATTGCCAGTAACTGTTGACCCCAGAGTATTCACCCAAGATGAGAGCTTTCGGGATCCCAAATGGAGGCCCCGGGGGGGGGGGGCACTGGGTTCTCCAAAAATCAGTTTTGAAAGTTGATTTTTTTTAGAAGCTTTTATAAGTCAACATAATACCTAACAACGTTTCTAATGTCCTCTTTGTTGTTTTATCTGATAATTCACAAAACTGCTGAAACCTCGATTTTTATATTGTTCTAAAAAAAAAATATCCCGGCCTTAAATTTATCTGTGGTGTCCTCTTTCCAAATGAACAATACTGGAAATATTTCCTAATAAAGGAAGAATGAGGAACATTCCAGAACACATCAGAATATGTTTCGCCGAGAGGACTTAACTTCTTCCCAGCTATATTTCCTACCATGTCTATCTCCCTGTGAAATAATAAACCGGTATTTATAACACATTAATAGACAATAGTAGAACCATAAGCTTAGATTCCGAAGGAAGAAAGTTTATTTTTAGAATAACAGGTCAGTAAGATACAAGGGGAGCGGGGGCGTTGTGACTAACATGAAATGAGGTCCTGATCCCGCGTGCTAGCAAGCTGCCCTGGGTAGTGCAGTTTGTCTTTAAGAAACCCACAGTATCCATTCAGCCCGCCTGAGGAGGGCTTCATTTAACAGATCATTTTTCCTTGATGGATGTGGCAAGCGTAACAATGTTCTGGGCCTGCTTCAGTAATGGCATGTCGATCATACTTCCTCGGAAAGTAAAGGCTCCCTGGAAAACAGAATACAAACTTCCTGAAAGAATGCTCTCAAATTATAGGCTTCTTTTCTTGCGCACACTCTCGTACCACAAGAACATTTTAGATCCCACCTGAGTTATGCTGACTTTCCTGCCCAACTTTTGAGAAAAATCAGAGCAAATTGCAGGGGAGAGATTTCTTTTTATCCTCCTACAGAGGCGGAGAGGGGAAAAAAAAATCCTTCAGCTTTTTAACAGAGAGGAGAAAAAAAAAACTGCAGCAGACACAAAACATGGTAAACTGTTCATTTCGCCCTTGAAAAATCAAATGGAAAACTGCGGAAGAAAAATTTAAATACTTCCTTATTTCATTTGAAATATTGTGTGGGATTCTGAAGCAGTAATATGCTCTGGCGGGTGATTACCATTTTTAAAAAAGTGCATTATCAGGTTAGTAACAAATGCATCCTTCTTGACAGACATAGTGAAGGTGTTACTCCAGGATAATGAAAAAATATGACCAAAGAGACCATGCTGCTCAGACATCCAAGCCACAGACAAAGAAGTCATTCTGTGTTGACCAGTCAAATTGGGAGGTGTGTCTGCCCCCCTCAACCCCTCTGTGCTCCATTTTACAGATTCTCTATTTCTTAAGCCTTATTCAAACACTCATTTAGATGGGCGTTTGATGTGGGTCCTGTTCTGGGTTAGGACACAGGCCCATGGTAGTGATCTTACAAAGTAACATGACTGGGAAGGGTTAGAGTTATTGGTAACACCAAGTCTCCTAGCTTCACACCTTCCCTGGAATCAAAAGAAGGGAAATTCAACTGACAGAAGGTAGCAGGGGCCCGATCCCAAATTAAAGCCAAGATATCTGTGTTCTTGTTTGATTTTTGTTTCTGTTCCTCTACAACGTAGGCTGCCCTTCAAGGCAATCCTCCTGCTTCAGTCTTCTAAGTGCTAGAATTATAGGTGTGAGTCTCCATATCTAGCTTCATGCAATTTCAATCTCTTTATTGTTGTTTTTGAGAGAGAGTCTCTTAATGTCGCCCCAGCCTGGAACTTGCTACGTAAACCAGGCTGGCTTTGAACTCATAGAGCTCTGCCTGCCTCTGCCTCCTGAGTGCTGGGATTAAAGGTGTGTGCCACCATCCCCTAGTTTTCCAATATGTTATTAAAAATTATTTTATTTTTAAAGTGCTGGAGATGAGATGGACCTTTCCAAGCCATGGCTCTACCACTGAGCCTCACCTCAGCCACAGCTAGTCACGTCTTTCTCCTTCATTTTACCTGTTGTCAAGGTAACAGGTGTTCCTCGGAGATCTGGAGGTGGGTGAGCCACCCTAGCCCTTGATGGTTCAGTTATATACAGCACAGCCCATTTCCTGTTGCATAAGTTAAAGGACAGCTTGTCGACAGTCACTACTGTACCTGCTGGTCTTGCATAGGGCTGCTGAGACGGGCATGCTGGGAGCTACCAGGAGGGTTACGGGGTAGGCATAGAGAGTATACTCACAGGAAGTAACCAACAAAAGTCTGTGGCAGACAATCCTTAGTGATATATTCAGATTTTATCCCTCAATAAGGTAGATTTAAAAGGACACATAACCAGAGGTTTTTCTAGGGATGCCTGATCCTCTTCGAATGATGAACCCAACCCTTAGGCAAACCTGTGTGACCTAAAATCCTGTATTTGGCTCACTTTCTGGTCCTCTCTCTTTTCATACCCTTCAACTGGCCCATTCCATATAGCCTAGAGCTAATTTGGGTCATCTAGGACCATGATGAACTTTATGAATCTGGTTGGGGAGGTTCCCCCAGGTTAGCATTGCGTGGAGATCAGGGGGTGGAGCCCATGCAGTTTTACAAGGCAATCATCTAGTTTCCCATTGGAGTGAGTGAGGAGCTGTAAAGGCCTTGGCCCCTTAAAATAGGTCTTCTGTCCTTCCAAGGTTTAACTAATAGGCTAGCAAGAGAAAGTTAGCATAGGTGCACATGAGATTTAAACAACAACAACAAAAACCTACAACAAACAAACAATCCTCCCCCACCAACCCCCCAAAAAAACCAAACGCCACCAACAAAAACCTGATGAGCCCTGAGTGATCTGTCTGGGTTCAGACCTTGTCTCCTGAAGCTGTATGGACTTCCACAGCACATCAGAGAAGAGAAATATTCCCAGCTGCTTTTTAAGACCTGGAGAGAACATTTCTTTCTTTTGTGTGGGCATATGGAGCTTGCTTTCCTTTATTATGTGGAAAACAAGGTGTACCATTGCTGTCCTGTTTTCCTTATCTCTGTAAACTGAGGACCTCGGTGCTCAGAATGAGAAGATCTGCCATAAATATTCATACGTCTTCATACGTCGATTCATAACACGCCTGCTTTTTTTTCTTAATGTATAGACTTTTCTGGAAATGTAAACAGTCTGGTGGTCAGGACTTGCTTTTTAAAATGTAACTTGTCAAAAAATCTGCTCGGGTTTTGAAGATGCCAGAGGAGTTTTTGTTTCACCAGCTGATGCGCTTTTTGGAAAACTGACATCCCATTTCAAATCATGCGAGGAGATTTTATCAGTCTGAAGATTTGGGTTATCCTTTTGTTTTAAGATACCTTTAAGAAGCTGGGGAGTTTGCATAGTGGTTAAGAGCTGACTGCTCCTGTTGAGGATAGTTTGATTCCTAGCGCCCACATGGTGGTTCATAATTGTTTGTAACTCTAGTTCCAGGGGATGCAGAGACTTCTGGTCTCTGCAGGTACTACATGAACATATATACATGGAGGCAAACATTCATACACATAAAAGCAAAATATTCTTTTAAATATTCCTTTAAACAATGACTGAATACTTGGAGAACCATGTTGACAATAACAGCTATAGTGTTTTGAATTAATGTTTACTAATCTTGGAGTCCACGGCTGGAACTTTACATACTTTGTTTCATGAGTACTGCCCACAATGGCACACAGGTACAGATGCTATCATTCATCCCGTAAAAAAATCTTTAGGAGGCTGAGAAAAAGGCTGTCAGCACTTGCTTCATAAGCAGGAGGTCTTAAGCACAATCTCCAAGACTAGGGTCAAAGGCCAACACAGCTGTATGTACTTGCAATCTAGTGATGGAGAAGCAGAGGGTGAAGGATCCTTGGACAGGCTGGCCAGCCAGGCTAGCTGAATTGGTTCACTGTGCTCCAGGATCAGGGAGATATTCTATCTCCAAAACAAAGGTGGCCAGCGATCGAGGAAACCTGTCAGTGACCTCTGGCCTTCATGTGCAGCTGCACAAATGCACAGAAGCCTTTTTCATTTCGGTAGAAAACATGCACTATAAAAATAAGTGTATGTGCTGACAGTGCAGCCATGTTACTAACACCCATAGTGCTGTGCAATAGAGCTCCAGACTGTCCTATCTCGCAAAAACAAAACTGTACCAAGCAAGCAACTCCCCTTTGTGCCTGCTACCCTGCTTCCCCCACACCGCCATTCTCCCTTCTGTTCCTAAGACCTTTATCCATTCTCATCCTATAACCTAAGAACCTGGGGCAAGTCCATTCCTCAGCTCATCAGGGTAGAATGGGAACAAAATGCTTGTTCTCTCTCTCTCTCTCTCTCTCTCTCTCTCTCTCTCTCTCTCTCTCTCTCTCTCTTTCTCTCTCTCTTTCTCTCTAGGTTGGCCTCAAACTAACAGAGCTCCACCTGCTTCTGCCTTGTGAGTGCTGGGACTAAAGACATGTGCTACCACCACCTGGCTCCATGTTTGATTTTTTAAAAATTATTTTTATTTATATAACATATATATGTGTGCATCTGTATGTGGGTATGTTTATGGGACTACAGGTGCCTATAGAGTCCAGAAGACAGTGTTGGATTCCTTGGAGCTAGAGTTATAGGTAGTTGTGAGATGCCTAATGTGGGTGCTGGGAACCAGAACTCAGGGTTTCTGCAAGACCAGTACATACTCTTAACCACTAAGCCACCTCTCTATTCTCAAACATGTTTATCTGATTCAAATCCGGTGTGTTCTTAAAAGCTTTTGGATTAAAAATGTGCTGAGCATGTTTTGTGATTAGCTGAATCAGACTCCAATACAAATAACCAGTCTCATTCAGCTGTGTTATTTGTGCTGGAGGGGGTATGTTAAATTGCAGATTCCAAGTTCAGTCCAACAGGATTAGATGCAGAAAGCCTGGAGGGTGGCCAGGAATCACCTCATGATTCCAACGCACGCTTGAGTTTGTGACCTTGTGCTTTTGTTGCTCTGAGTTGAAGGCCAAGTTACAAGTACACACTTCCAAAGTGTAAGACCACTGGAGCCTCTGAGATCTCTTACAGGCTGTCCTCACAGTGCTTAGTAATGGACATTTCTTAGGCTGGTCGTCATTCACTAGCCATCCATCCACTGTGGATAGAGCAGCCAGGCCTTGGGGAACCACTTAGGACAGGATGGGAAGACTCTGCTCCTGTGCTCTAAGAGCTTCCAGTTGTGGGACCAGACAAAGAAGAGGAGTGGTAGCTGCCTCAGGACAGATGAGACCTGTGGCTGTATTGGCTTTTTCCAGTCAGCATCTTCCTCGCCACATGCAAACCTTTATAGATATGAGGCTGTGCACTCAGAACACACTACACACATTCCATCATGCACTCCTCCATAGATATGACACTGTGCACACATTTCACACATTCTATGGTGCATGTCTCCATAGATATGAGGCTGTGCACCCAGCACGCACTACACACATTCCATGACAGTTGTCCCAGGGCTCAAGTCCTGCAAGTTTTCATTCTATAGTGACCAATTCATTTGTCATTGAAGATCCCTGGTCAGTGCACGGACACTGCTTATTGCCTATAGGTCTGAGACTCAGATTCCTGGAAATGAGGGACAACATATTGGAGCTCCTGTCATCTGTGTGGGGGAGGGGGAAGACACTGACACAGGCTCTAGATTTTGCGACACTCAACTCATTCCTAGTGATGATAGGCACATAGGGCACTAGTTGCTTAATTGTGAAGCACTAACCTGGCATAT